GATGAGGCTGACCTCAAACACTACTCAATTTCCTGTGTGATTGGCCAACAAATCAACACCACTGAGGAGAAAAATGTTGAGAAAAATGATGACAAATGGTGACCGTAGATCCAACAACAGCAGTCCAATAGTTCAGGCTCCAACAGACTGTTTAGGCAAAGTTAACACCAGGAATAGTGAAGGCCTTGAGCAGTTTCACCTATTATGAATGTCTTATGAACTACATTATCTTATGCCACCATTTGTTCTCTTTGGCATGTAAAATATATTACACTTAATCTTAGCTCTGAATGTGGCCCTTACTTTAAACTGGAAGTGGAGATTTTAAAGGGAATAAAGGAAATAAACAGCTTTTGTGATATAAAAATAAATAAGAAGCCCTCCCACTCCATTCATGATTTACAATGTTCTTATTAAATCTCAATGGCTATGTCTACACTAGCTGCTTCTTGTGCAAGAACTCTTTTGTGGAAGAATTCTTGTGCAAAAACTCTTCCAGAAGAGAGCGTCTACACTGGCATGTGCTTTTGCGCAAGAGATGTGCTTTTGTGCAAGAGCATCCATGCCAGTGTAGACGCTCTCTTGCGCAAGAAAGCTCCGATGGCCATTTTAACCATAGGGCTTTCTTGCGCATGAACAGTTGCGCAAAAGGGTTTATTCCTGAGGGGGAGCATCAGAGTTCTGGTGCAAGAAGCCCTGATTTCATACAGTAGAACATCAGTTTACTTGCGCAAGATCACGCGGCTTGTGTAGACAGGCAGCAAGTTTTTGCGCAAGAACGGCAGCTTTTGTGCAAGATTGTGCCAGTGTAGACAAAGTCAATGGGTTTTAGATCAGGCTTTTAAACAACAAAGCAGCTACATACAGGTTGAACCTCTCTGGTTTGGAACTCTCGGGTCTGGCAACATTTATAGTCCAGCAAGACCACAGATGTTAGTAGACCAGAGTGCCCCTGGGGCTGTGAGCTGGGAGTCTGGTGGAGCCATCAGCAAAGTCTAGTCAGCAGCTGCTGGAGGTCAGCAGCAGGGTGGAGCCTGGCCAGCCTGGCAGCCCCAGGAGCCAGGAGTGCAGCCTGACAGCTGCCAGGGGCTCGGAGAGCAGCCTGGCCATCCCGGCCGCTGCCTGGGACTGGGAGTGTAGCCCGCACAGCCCAGCATTCACCAGGGGTCAGGAGCCAAGAATGCATCCCGGCTGCCTTGGGGATGGGAGCACAGTCAGGTTGGCAGCTGCATGGGTCTGGGAGCAAGACTGGCAGCCAGAAGGGGAGCCATCTGGGAAGCCGGCAACCTCAGGAGAGCCTGACCTCCCCTGGTCCAGCAAACTCCTTTATCTGGAACCTGCCAGGTCTTGAGGGTGCTGGCTCATGGAGGTCCAACCTGCAGCTTTAAAATTGATAAATCTGTGTCCTTCTCATGATGCCTCCACTCCCAAACTCTTTCCTAAGTAAAATAAGGAAATTCATCCCTGTAGGATAGAGTTAAATTTATATTTATAGGTGCCTGGTCATTCAAAGCTGAAACACTGTCTTTAACTCATACTGGTCTGATAGATAAAAAGCACAGTAGAATAAATTAATGAAAAAGATTTAATATGACCTGTGAATTTAGCAAGTTATGTTTTTGGGAAACATAGGCAGTGGCATACTGATTCCAAGAAATGTTTAATTATCTGCAATATTGTTTTAGCTGTGTTGATCCTAGGACCTGAATAAGAGCTCTGCATAGCTTGAAAGCTCGTCTCTTTCACCAGAAGAAGTTTGTCAAATAAAAGATATTACCTCATCTGCCTTTTTTCTCTGTTGCTTTATTAATCTGCTATCCCATTACAACAGTACCAAATGCATCAAAATGCATAATGACAAACAATTATCAAATAGCATGTTTATGGAGGAAGTTTCTTCCTAAGTGCAGTCCATAATTAGCTTATGCCCTGAAGCTGATATGACCAAAGTTCATATTTATGTGTCTAATCCTTATTGAATCCTTTTATGCCATGTGTTGCAGTAATATTTTGGGGTAGTTTTTTATGTGCAAAACATCATTTTGCGGTTTATATTTTTAAATGTTTTGCCTTTGTCTTCACTGAGTCTTGTCTTGTTCCTTTGTTAAGGAAAAACATAAAATTGAAGGGCTTGATGTCCCTTCTTTTGACCATTCATTAATGTTATCTATCATGTCCTCTTATTTGGCTCCTCTCTAAATAGTTCTAAACCTTTAAATCACTTCTTATATAGAAGTTTTCTATTTGTCACCCTTCCCTGGAAATTTTCTATTTCTGCCAGAATCTTCTAAGACTTAATGAACAAAACTGAATTCAGTACTCCAGATGATGATGAACCATATACATGTGTTATGGCATGATAAACATTTTCTATCTTATTCTCTATGGCCCTCTATTCCTACAACGTAATATATTGTTTGCTTTTTTCCCCACCAATGTATTGAGAAAGTTTTCATTAAGCTGTCCACAATGATACCTTGGGTCAATTCTCCTCTGAATTTTAACCTGTGCATGGAGTTGAATGTCAGGCCCAAATTTGGCCTTCAGTCTTTTTTTCCAGAATTGTTGCACATTGTTCCTTCTAACGTGCACTGCTTGGCATTTGCCTACACTACATTTTGTCAGACTTTATGTTAGGTACTGCAAAAATTCCTCATGGCATTCACTAGTCTTGACTCATGTATTATGTGTAAATTTTACCACATCACAATTTGCCTACTTTCAGATCAATAATAAATACATTAAACATCCCCGAGTCTGAAAGCTTGGGAAAACGACAAGTTAGCTTCTTTCTATGCTGAAAACTGCCCATTCATTTCTACTCTTTGCTGTCTATCTAACTGGTTTCTAATCCATGACAGATCATGTTTTGTAGATTATAAGCTCTTTGGAGGAAGGAGCATATCTTTTAAAACTCTCTAAACTGTTATACAAAGCTGTGGTGTCATATAAATACATATATAAAGAAGCCAATGTAACTTATATATCAGCTCATATTCAGCTAGGGGTATTATAAATCTAAGAGTTTTTTCTCAATTATTTTACCCAAATTGTTTTTCAATTAATTTACCCAGCCTTGAGATACAGTTCTTTGGTCTGTAATTATACCAGTGTCATCTCATGTATCGTTCTTAAAAATTGGTACAATTTTAACTTCACTCCAGTTCTTTACAGCAGTGGAACTGAAGCCAAATGTATTTTGTAATACATTTGTGGAAAGACCTTGTGCCTAATAAAGTAGCAATGCTGACTACAGGAAGATAGAGCGCCTGCTTTCCCACGAACTGCCTACGCACCTACGTCTTGACCTCCAACAACATTCTGGCATTCCAGCCCTCAGCCTCTCCTGAGCTAGTGGTTTTGTGATGTGAGCAAACACCCTCTCCAGATTAAGAGTCCTTCAAATTCCTTCTCACTTGTGACCTAAACAAAACAGGAGAACAAAACTCTCACAGGTGAATGTGGTGTCAGACATTTGTTCTTATGGGACAAGTGCTGCCCTCACAAAAAATTACTAAGTGGGAAAAAGTTAGAACAAAAAGGGTCAAAAGCCTCAGACATGCAGGGAAATTGGAAGAGAAGAATCCTGTAGTGCAATGAAAAGGGCTCAGTTTGTTCTTTCCAGTTGTGGCCTTAAGTTAGGCAGGAGGGCAAGAGGAAAAGCAGTTAGACAAAATTATGCTGTAAGAAAAACAGACCCCTCCCTAAACTAGAAAGTCCCAATGAGCCTAGGAGTTTGTACTACATACAACACTGCAACATACCCCTACTTCTGGCCCTCTCAGTGGATATGTTATATCAGTTTAGGCCCCAGTCTTGCTATCTGATCCAATAGAGTTGGCTTATCCAACTGCATAGAGCCTGCGTAGAGCCAATTGCAAGAGCAGAGCTTCCTAAGACTTTTTTCTAAGACTTCCTTAGGAGTACGGACTCCCACTCATTTTCCAATGGATATCTGACTACCCAACCCTGCTTAATTGCCACTTCGAAATTTGGTTCACTGAGCCTGAGTTGTTGTAATTCATAATTTGCACATAGGAGGGAGGGGGGAAGCACAGAGGAATGCACCAAGAAAAGTAATTAATAGGAATGTGTAAGAAAGGACAAGTTGCAAGCCTACTGAATTTTCCATCTTTTAATGCTGTCTTTGAAACCCTTAGGATAAAACACCAAATTAGGCTCCGTTGCAGATTAATAGAATTGGTGTGTGTAGGTCTAAGAGAGTCTAAGACTTTATTTATGATGAAAGCAACACTGGTTTAATTAATACAAGAAAGCAATTTAAACCAAGTTTATATCTGGTTATATTAGATTGAGTCAATCTGTACCAGTCTTTGGCGTGTTAATACAACTGGTGCACTTTTTACTATAGATAAGGCCCAGGTGAATATTGAGAAGGCATTTCTACTATAGTGTGAGTGCTGTATATTACATTAGACACATGTATATGTTATAACATATAGCTAGATCATGTCCATGTGTGGATGACATACATTTACTCTGATTTTCAGTGTTGCTGAACTTCTCTAGCTCCATCACATTTTACTGGGTACTGAAGGGGCACTTTGAGTAAGAGGCTGGTAATATGTGTTAAATATATATGTAATGCCTTCCCATTCCTTGCACCTATATTAGTACATCTCTGCCTGTGCTGTGCAACTGATCTTTGTTCTTTTCTATGAAATAAGGCGTTTTAGCCATGCTCCCTAGTAACTTAGATAAAACTTAGCTTCTGTTTGTTTTTTGCCTATCTCAGCAATAACACTGCACTCATTGCCTTTGTGTACAAGTGCCAATCTCTGGGCATGTTCCCATAAACATGCTGCCCCCAAACAGCAGGCATTCTTATACCTCACATGAAGCTTTCAATGCTTAGGATATAGAAGCACCAGCACAATCAGTGATATCAGCACACACAGGTCTGGGAATTGTATTTATGAGGCTGCTTTAGCATGGAACCCCCAAAGAAATTGCAAAGAAGAAATATAAGAATGAAATACCTCGTGATATTTTTTCACTGTTTTCCCTGCTGTGCACGTGCAAGATCTCCAATTCACTGTTCCACAGCCACAATTCCCTCCACAGCGCTGGACCAGGAAGCAACGAGGAAAGAAAACTACATTTGTCAGCTTCAGTTCCTCCCTTAAATTGACAGAGTAGTTCCTTGGAGTGCAGCTGTAACGTTTCACATCATCATTCAATCTGTCCAGGTCAACTGCAAAGCAAAAGTGGTCTTATTTGTAAGGTTGAGTGGGAAGTGTCTTAGACTGAATTGCTCTCTATCATGGGAAGTCACAACACAAGTTTGTGCTCCAGAAGCATCATTCAGAAAATTAATTTTCAATGTAGTTCCTTTCAGGGTAAATATCAGGAACCCAGTTTTTATATGACTGAACATGGTCATCTCAGCCCTGGTTCTGTTCCACTGAATTCCATGGCAAAATGCTCACTGACTTTAATGATGCAAGATCAGGTTTGTAGTGTGTAAAGCACTGAAATGGAAGTCAGGAGATTCCCTGCTCTGTAGCTGACCTGCTGCTGTGTAACTTTGGGAAAATCTCTCCATCTCTCTGTGTCTGTTTCCTCTCCCACCATTTGTCTTGTGTATTTAGGCAGAGACTGTTTTTTATTATGTGTTTATAGAGTACTTAGCACAAAAGACAAAAACTGAGTCAGGACATGTAGTTACTTCTGAAATACAACTAACTAAATAATAAAATATTAAAGTCTAAATACAATTTTAAAAACTTAAAAGGCAACTAGCAGTCTTGCAGCACCTTAGAGACTAACAAAAATGTAGATGGTATCATGAGCTTTTGTGGGCACAATCTACTTAAGAAGTGGGTTGTGCCCATGAAAGCTCATGATATCATCTACATTTTTTGTTAGTTTCTAAGTTGCTGCAAGACTACTTGTTGTTTTTTAAGTTTTTCCAGTTACAGACTAACACAGCAACTCTTGTATCATTTTAAAAGTTTGTTAAATACTCTTATTTCACTGAAATTTCCATCCACAGGTTTTCCACTGAGGTGAGTCGTCTGATGTAAAATTACACTCAACAGTGACTTGAAGAATAGTTATAGTTTATGGTTTTAAAATCCAAAATTTTGATAAAAATCTCCCAATGGCAATTTTACAATGAAAAAAGAGGACTAAAATAACCTATTTTAGTTCTTGAAAGTTCTTTTTTGGTTTTGTTTTTTTGTCCTTTTTGTTGGATTCTGTCCCTGTATTTAATGATGAAAAGTTGATCTGTGTCAGCAAGATTACACACTGAAATGAAAACTGTAACTGGTAGGAAAATACACACTAAAATGTACCAGAAATTAACTTCTAAATTGAGAAAAAGTATAATGTATTGCTTGAGAATGAGTCAGAATTTTCACATAAGTAGTCCCCAAGCCACTGCATTAATTCTGATTTACAGGGAGGTGACTTGTAAATATCATGCACTTTTAAATTATGACTTTGAAATATTTACTTGTCCAAGATACATATGCAAATGACTTTAGCAGCAATGGACACATACAAATCAACTTAATTTTTTATGCAATATGTTAACCCAGCTGGGGGAAAGTTAGCAATTAAGTCAGGATTTAGAAAATGTTTTAATAGTTGCGATATCATGAGAATCATCTCACCATGTAATATCAACTGTTCTATCCAGAGAGCTAGTATCCCCACAAAGAAGGTACAAAGTCTCCTCTTGAGATGAACATAAAATCAATCAGAGTTACCAGTATAGGCATGCATTGAGGGAAAAAAAATACACTCCAAATGCTCATAGATAGTTCTCAGAGGAATAAAAAAAATTGGTTTCAACAGACTATAGTATGTTCTCTGTGGTTGCAGGCTAATTTTTTCCTAACCCCTTCACCCCTAGTTCCCATAATTCCCATGTGACGAATCCCACCAGTGCTACCGTGTCAAGGCTGTTCCCCACTCTTGCACTCTGTGTGCAAAAGGTGGGGGCCTGCAAGAGACTAAAAATACCTTGCCAATAAAGGCTTGTGTTAAAACTCCCCAAAGTCACAGATTCTATGGCCTTGGATTGGTATCACTGCCACCACCCAAATACGCTACGCAAATTGCACATTATATTTAGATTCTATCTACACAGCACCAAATTTTGAAATAATATACTATTTCAAGACATTTCTTACCCCTCGTGGAACTAGGTTTACAGGGATGGTGAAATAGTATGTCCACTATATTTCGCAATAGCGGATGCGTTCAAAAGATGTGGGGTAGCTATTTCGGGATACCAGTGATATTCCAAACTAGCCTTGCAGTGTAGACGTATCTTTATGCACATGCACTCAAAGCTTGGTTTGCTCACTATTACTTTAACCTATTGGCAATGAGAAAAAGATAATCCAATGGATATGGTGCAGATTCTATCGTTGTGATTAATAGGCTCTCCAGAGGGAAAAGCCTAGTGCTTCAATGTATTGTACCTCATCAATCCAAGCACCTACTGAGTCCGCGGATTTCATCTAGCAGTCTAAATGCTCATCACCCCTGAATTTGATATCTTAGATAGCATGATCCAGATATAATGGGATTAAGACTACAAGGTCACTCATTACTACTGTCAGCTAGAAAAAACGCTGCAGTTCCTTTCTGACTCTGCCCTGTACAACTGCTGTTTTAGGTGGGCCAAACTGAGCAGGCAACATATATGCCTAACAGAAATACTATCTTCTGCATATATCTCAAAGACACACAAGAACTGTGTCCAGTGCATAAGTGACGTTAAAACACCATTTGTAAATCATTAACAAAAGAAAGTTCTCTAAAGACTACTCACTCACGAAAGCCCAGATTTGAACTTTTCTTCTGTCTCCGAATAGTTTTACTTTCTGAAGCCAGTTCACTTCCTAATTCATATAACAACAAGATCTTAAAGTACAGACAGCTTCATGCATCACTGCTGTGACTAAAAGTTAACTGAGTCTTAGTGTGAAATTCTGCTGCTTTACTTATCAAGGGAATGAAACCACTGAAGTCCTTAATTCAAAAGTGGAACTAAAAGGTTCTTCAGATTGGATGCAAATAGCTTCAAAACATTATTACAGAATTTTTGCATCAGACATTCAGTTTAAAGGCAAAGAGAGACATTGAAGACTACAATAGCACACAAGCTGGGATATAAGGCATTAGACACTCAATTTAAGCACCAGCTTAAATCCATTCCTATTGAGGATAGGACTGAAGTATATGCTTAATTTGAAACATTGATTCAATCAGATTTAGGCAGTGCTTAAAACTAAGCACGTAATGTAATGTGAACTGGAATACAGATATTTTATTGAATCATGGGTCGCAGCTATTACTCCTGCTGATCTGATATGGGCCTTTTTCATATGGGCCACAAAGACCTTGGAAGAGAGAAAATCCCTGCTGCTAGCCACAGTGTTTTCACCTCCAAGGAGGATCTTGCTGAACCTTTTTTGACATTCTGGCATAGGTACTCATATGGCCCCATCATTGTAACAAATAAGCATCTCACAGTCTTTAATGTGTTTATCTTCACAAGAGCCTTGTGAGAAAGGAAAGTGTTAGTGTTCCCATTGGATAGCAGGAGAACTGGGGTAACAAGGACATTGAAGTGACTTACCAAGGTCACAATTCAGTCAGTTAGAAATACATTTCTTCTGGTCTGCTGTTGTGAATGAACAAATTGCACTTGTTGAACAGAAAATTGCAACATTCACATACTACTTTTAAGTAGCTGAATATCTGTTTGTGGGCAAGCATACTTGCACACATGAGGGTGGTAGATTGCTGAAAACAGTTAGCAAGTATTTTGTAGCTGTCAGTGCATACATCAGTGTTTGCACCTTGAACACTGCATTGGATTAATTGACTAATATTTCAATTCCTAAAATCCAGATTCTCTTGACATATAGGGGTTAGATTCACTAAGGGACATAGGTGTAGCAGTGCTAAGGTTCACCACTCCTAATTTTCAGGTGCCTAGAAAAATCGCTTTGATTCATAAAACTTGTGTTAGGCCTTGTCAACACTACCAAGTTTTGTCGACAAAACTTATATCAACAACACTCCAAAACCAGGCTCCTTTTGTCAACATGTCACATCCAAATTGGCAGCACCATCACTGATAGTGTGAAAAATGCACTGTGGGTATGTATCCCACAGGACAGTGTTGTGGGAAGGCTGTGCTGATCCTCACACACTTTGGGATTCCCTCTGAGTTCTCCCAGTCTCCTCAGCTGCCAGGAGAGGCATCATGAGTAGCTCTGCGAGCTCACCATGCTGAAGAACATCAAAGCATCCCTGCAGTCTCTCCTTGTGCTTCTCCCTCCTGACTTCCCCTCCAGCAACACTCTGCCTGCTGCTATGTTTCTAATGCAGGGCCGAACAGGAGGGCTCCAACGAGTTGCTCTTTGGTCCCCAAAGGGACCAGTACACTCAGCTGTCACTATTTCCTGGAGCTTTGAAAGGGGAGAATTGCATACCTACAGAGCACCAGAGCTCAAAATACTGAGCAGAACCATCAGGGTAGGCATTGTGTGGCCTCTAGTACGGTGGAAGTTTTTTTGTCACCAAAACTGACAAAAGTTGTATTTCAGTGTGAACACTCTGCTTTGTCTCCAAAAGGCAGTTTTGGATGAGAAAACTTGGTAGTGTAGACAAGGTCTTAGGCACTCAAACTTCCTATAAAATACATAGAGGACAATAAGTTCCTAAGGGTATGTCTACACTAGCTCAGTAGTTTGAGCTAGGTAGGCAAATGAGGGCAACCGGAGTTGCAAATGAAGCCCGGGATTTAAATATCATTTGCATCTTCCCAGGCGCTGCCATTTTTAAATCCCCCTTAGTCTGAACTCCGTGCCCGTGGCTACATGCGGCATGGAGTAGGTAGTTCGAATTAGGATCTCTAATTCGAACTACCGTTACTCCTCGTGGAACCTATTTCAAACTACCTACTCCGTGCTGCATGTAGCCACGGGCACGGAGTTCGGACTAAGGGGGCTTTAAAAATAAGATGCAAATTTGTCACCAAAACTGACAAAAGTTGTATTTCAGTGTGAACACTCTGCTTTGTCTCCAAAAGGCAGTTTTGGATGAGAAAACTTGGTAGTGTAGACAAGGTCTTAGGCACTCAAACTTCCTATAAAATACATAGAGGACAATAAGTTCCTAAGGGTATGTCTACACTAGCTCAGTAGTTTGAGCTAGGTAGGCAAA